CGTGCAGAGGGGAGGTGGAGAGGGAGGCCAGGCAGTGTGCAGAGGGGAGGAGTGAGAAAGGCCAGGCAGTGTGCAGAGGGGAGGCTGGGAGGCTACACGGTCCCCAAGGAGGCAGGTGGCTCCATACCCGACCCCAGCCTGGTTCTTGGCACTCACTCATGTTCTGGTTCCACCTGCTTTTTGATCCTTAAGTTCTTTAGGTCCTGATGGAGGGATTGGCTATAGCCACCTTTCTTTCCTTACCTGCCTCTGTGCAGTTTAACAGGGCATCCCTAAGGCTTGCAGCTCCTTCTCTCTCTCTCTCACCCTTGAGGCTAAGCGGAGGGATTTTTCATTTCCATCAGTGTCCCTCTGTCTTAAACAGACCCTGTCTGTGGCTCCTAGAGGAAAAATGTCTTGAAAATGAAAGTTACATTAAATATGGGCATGGGAATTAAGGATGGCAGTTGTAAAGCTGACCTTTTCAGAATTTTTTTTAATACCATTTGGATAAATTGGCAAGAATATGGACTTTGGGACTAATAACCAATCCTGGAATCTAGTTCTTTTCCTGTCATCAGTGCCTGTGGCTCAGTGAGTAGGTCGCCAGCCCCATATACTGAGGGTGGCGGGTTCAAACCCCATCCTGCCAAACTGCAACAAAAAAATAGCCAGGCGTTCTGGCAGGCGCCTGTAGTCCCAGCTACTTGGGAGGCTGAGGCAAGAGAATCGCGTAAGCCCAAGAGCTGGAGATTGCTATGAGCTGTGACGTCACTGCACTCTACCAAGGGCAACAAAGTGAGACTCTATCTCAAAAAAAAAACCAAAAAAACCCTCTTTAAAGTCTAGGCCCGATTCCCTGATTCCAGAACTATTCAGGATGTAAAGAACCTCAGAACCTTGGATATTATTCAGGACATACTGTTAAGTGGGGTGGGGGAGAAGGAAGGTATGGGATAGCATGAATAATATGATCCTGTTCGTATAAAACTCATAATGAAAGGAGACGATGAGCTTACAAAGGAAGCAGATGTTTCTGGAAGGTACTTCCTGATGGCCTATGAGGAAGGGAACTATATAGACCATTTCACTTTTTGTACTTCTTACATTTGGTGCTGTGATCTTATATCACCTAACACAATCACTACACAAAATTTAATTTAAAAAACAAAAATGCTGGCTAGGACTCTGAGGCTCAGAGGGATGCTGTGGTCACAAATGGAGGTGGTGGTCCATCTGGGAGGAGGACCTAGGCTTCCAGAGCCCGGCCCCACTGCCCCTCGGGATGGCTGGGGGGGTCAGTCGAAGGCTGTGCAGTTCCAGGAGCTGAAAGGGCCCATTCTTCTCTTGTTCCTTGCTTGTACCTCTTGGCCTGCAGTGCACAGTGGAGTCTTCAGGAAGTTTTTAGATCCTTCCCCAGGACAGCTAAGGGAAGGAATAAATGCAGTTGGCCGTTGATGTCTTTCCAGACGCTGAGCACTGCGTGCCCACAAGGGCTCAGTGGCAGCAGTTGTCTGAGCTGGTGGTGGTTGCCTGGTCAGGACGGGGACACAGGCTGGGAGAGCCCAAGGGAGGCTGGAACCTCCTCCTTTGAACTCATTGCTTTGCCTAATTGCTGGTCCACAGAGACCTGGCTGAAAATTAGTCTAAATGCTAAATTGAGTCTGAAACCCTGGTGAGTCTCAGCCCCTCTAGAAACAGGACACCGTATAGAAATAGAAACTTTAAATCAGCTTGTTTTTTAAGCTTTATGCAGCTTTGCGGTGAGGTTCAGAGTCCTCTG